GTGGTGAGGAGGGTGTAGGAGCCCTGGTAAGGCATGAATGATCACAAGGGTAATGTAACCGAGAGGAATTACTGAAACCCAAATGAAGGCTAAGCATGATAATTGGGCAAGAGGAAAGTAAAAGGAAACAGAGGAAAGAGCTAGGAGGCAAAGGGCATTCATAGGTCTAAATAAAGGCATGTACATATGTAAATATATTTATATATGAGGATGGGGAAACAGATCTATGTGCATATATTTATAGGTTTAATATTAAGGTTAACAGATAGACATTGGGTCTCTACTCAAGTTCTCCTTCAATGCAAGAACACTTTGTTCTATTAAACTGGCATTCCATGATGCTCACCTTCCCAACACAGTTGCTGAAGACAAAGCGGGTGCATAAGCAACTGTGGTGAAGAAAGCTGATGGAGACCGGCTATCAAAAGATATAGCGTTTAGGGTCTTAAAGTCTTGAAGGTAAACAAGTGGCCATCTAGCTCAGAAGCAACAAAGCCCACATGGAAGAAGCAAACCAGCCTGTGTGACCACAAGGTGTCGAAGGGATCAGTTATCAGGCATCAAAGAACAAAAAATCATATCATTTTGAAGGAGGGGGAGTGTGGAGTGGAGACCCATCTGTAGGCAATTGGATATCCCCTTATGGAAGGGTCGTAGGGAGAAGAGCCAGTCAGGGTGCAGTGTGGGACAATGAAACATACAACTTTCCTTTAGTTTCTAAATGCTTCCTCCCCCGATCATGATCCCAATTCTACCTTACAAATCTGGCTAGACCAGATTTGTACACTGGTACAGATAGGAACTGGAAACACAAGGAATCCAGGACAGACAATCCCTTCAGGACCAGTGGTGAGAGTAGTGATACTGGGAGGATGGATTGGAAAGGGGGAACCAATTACAAGGATCTACATATAACCTCCTTCCTGGGGGATGAACAACAGAAAGGTGGGTAAAGGGAGACGTCGGACAGTGTGAGATCTGACAAAATAATAATTTATAAATTATCAAGGGTTCATGAGGGAAGGGAGACCGGGAAGGGAGGGTGAAAAATGAGGAGCTGATACCAAGGGCATAAGTGGAGAGCAAATGTTTTGAGAATGATGAGGGCAATGAATGTACAAATGTGCTTTACACAACTGATGTATATATGGATTGTGTTAAGAGTTCTATGAGCCCCCAATAAAATGATTTTAAAAAATTATTAAGGGTTCACGAGGATGGAAGGGAGATGTGGGAGAGGGGGAAAAGAGGAGCTGATACCAAGGGCTCAAGTAGAAAGAAAATGTTTTGGAAATGATGCTGGTAACCTATGTACAAATGTGCTCAATACAATTAATGTACAGATTGTCATAATGTAAGAACCCCCAATAAAATAATATATTTAAAAAACAAACAACAACAACAACCAGATTTTGAAGCCAGGGCTAATATAAAATTTTTAGCAAAATTCAAACGGACATCTTCACAAGTGATTACATCTTTGCAACAAGTTTATGAGAATGCTGCCATACATAAAGGATGTGTTTAAGATGAATCAAACATTTAAGGAAGGTTGAGAAGACATGAGATAAGCCAAAAGACGGAAGACTTTGACAAATGAAGAAACTCTGACTAATAATCAGAAATTGGTAAAAAAAAAAAAAAAAAAAGACTGTAGAATCACTACTGAAGTTAGGATTTCACATGGCTCAGTAGTCTCATTTTAAGAGACTATCTTGGCCTAAACAAGCTTTTGGTTTGATGGGTGCCAAAATCATTACATGAAGATCAGGCAATTTAAAGAGCTTTCCTTTCCATCAGTCTTTGAAGCAAGATAGAAGTTAATGATAAAGATCTTCTGGAATGAATCATAACTGAGGACAAAATCTTGGAATCAAAGCTTTAACCCAGAGAGCAAGGTCTAATCAAAACCGTGGTTTCTGAGGGTATCTGCTGGGTCAGATAATTTCAGGGCAAACGTCACCGCAGCAGGTTAAGGTGATTGGTTTTTACCAAATGATTCCTAATACATTTTCTTAAAGGACACAGACAATCATGGGGGCTTATTAGAAAGACCCTTTAAAAAACAAAACTGTTCGACACCCCGTGATCACACAGGTTGATATGTTGTTCCATGTGGGCTTTGTTGCTTCTGAGCTAGATGGCCGCTTGTTTACCTTCAAG